TTTGGTCTTTCTGAGGTGGTTCTGCTGCCTCCTCCAATGCACAGTGTCTCTATCTCTCTCTCATTTTATTTCTCTCTCTCTCTGTTTCTATCTCTATTCAAAAACCAGGATGACTTCACCATTGAAAACTTTCTGCCTAAAAATGGTCAAAGAACAGGTTTTTTTAATCTTAGTCCACAATAATTTGGTTCAAATTGGGATTTTTGATCACATTCTTTTTAAAATCACAGACAAAGACAGACAAATGACATTCCTGGCAGCATTGTCAACGCATTAATCCCCATTTTTGACATGACTTACCTGGACAATGGACTCTTTGGGATACCCCAGAGAGTTTTTATTTAAGAACCCAGGGACGAGCTGTTCACGGCTGTCCTTTCACAGCCCCTGCGCCCCCGGCTACAGGACCCCACAGAGGAGCCCCTTTCTCTCACCGGTGGTGACAGACTTAGTCCTCAGGACTAAGAGTTGAGGACTTAGATTTTAGGCTGACAAATTTCTTTAACAAAGACAAAAATCACCTCTTTTAGACACCTAAACCTAAGTTTTCCTGAGACCTCAGACATATTTCCTGGGTGAATTTTAAGATCTTTCATGTCAGAAAATACCCCACAATCTTTAGTGTTGTGTGTCAGAATTCTCAAAGTCTATAGGGACAAGACTCAGTCCAAAACGCTGCACTTTGTGCCTGTCCCCAAACAGGCGACAGACCCCCAGCCCAGCCCCAAGTCTGAGAAAAAAACCCCAAATCACCAAAAATCGACAAAATGTCACAATTTCACACCGAGGAAGGAAAGACCAAGAAATTGGCGACTCACCTTTGACGGTCAAATGGGTCCCGGACCCGAATGTATAACCACCACTGCTGCTCTCCCAGGCACCACAGAAATAGACACCCTCGTCCTCGTCTTGGACCCCAGTGATGGTTAATGTGGCCGTGGAGCCCAACAAGGATCCAGAGAATCGTGAAGGGATGTTTGAGGGTCTGTTGCTATTAACATAGATCACAGGGACAAGGGCACTGCCAGGGACCTTCTGCTGGTACCAGCCATACAAGTTGTAGCTGCTCCCAGAGCAGGTGATCTTGACGGTGTCTCCCACCCTGTGAGACAATGAGGGCGGCTGAGTCAGCGCTGCCTGGACAAGAGAACCTGAAAATGGAGAGGAGAGAGAGGGGAAGACGGGTCAGTCAAAGCCCCAGGAGCACAG